TACACATTTGTTTTTAACGTCATTAATATTAACTGTCACTAAATCATTTGACAAGTTGTGCACATGTTGAATATTAAATAATTCTGAGGAGCACGGAGAAGTAAAAAATGGTTTGGTTTGTGAGAATTTTCTTCCCGTGACAAATATTTCCGATGTATTATACTTTTTAAAAATACTTGTTATGCACAGCACAGACTTGTCATTCAACATAACGCAGTTGTCTGTACTTGATGAGCTAATCAATTCAAACTTTTCCGTTTCAACTGCTCGGTAGTAGACGAAATCTTTTTGTTCGTGTGCTTGATATACTGAACGTCGATTTCGTAAAATTGGGTATGTTATTTCTTCATTGCTTTTCCATGCATACTTTTGCTCCTCCAATCTGTTACATATTTGTTGCAACGGTTTCCTAGAGAGTTGAATTTTTTGTTTTAAATAAAACAAATAATTTTCAAATGGGAAACACGTAAAAGTATCCAAGGAACCATGTTTTAAACATTCTGCAGGCAAATGAATGAGGCCATGCACATTATAAGTGACATTCTTCACCGTAAATTGTAGAATATTTTGTCACAAAGTAACGCAGAAGTTGCGATGCATAAGCATTGTACGTGTAGCGTACTGCCGTACGATATCCACGCTTGTCCACGGAAGATTGTATCGAGGACGGTGTGGCCGAGAAATAAACACTTCTCTTAGGTTTTAAATTTATTTATTGCACTTTTCGATAAAGACTTATTTACGTCACGTGTTGCAATGCAAGTAAGTAAGAAGACGGAAGTCAGGTAGTGACGCTACCGGAAAGCGCGCGTACTCGCGAGCAATCGTGGCAACAACAACAGAATAGCGAAAACGCTCGATCGCTCGCGTACGGAGAAAAGGCGCGAGCATACAAAATAACACAAATTAACATATATTCTTCGTGTACCATACAGTACGTAATGTACAATTCTGGAGTGCATAAAATGCGAATAGCGCAAGAGAAACTCATGAAGCATGTAGATGTTTCGATTTTTAATCTTTGCTAATACAATAGGTCCGATATAAAGTGTGAATTGATGTAGTTCAATGCCTTTAAAAAATTCAATATTATTCAGGTTTCGTGGCCAACGAGCAAAATCTTTTGGTACTGAATATCTTATAATCAATTTCTCTATCGATGTCTTTTTTTCAGTGTCAGAGAACCGAAAATTTTTTGGTCCTCTCATCCAAAATGTAATATCTCTTTTTATTGTTCCCAAATATACAAGATGTAGAGCATCAAGTGGCACTTACGATACTAAACCGACATCAAGCTTTGTGAAAGGACTTGTTCCTTTATGAAATTTTTCGTCTACTTGGAGTTTAAAGCTTTCATCGGTTCGCAATTCACAATCTTCTTCCAAAAAAGCCATTCTTCGGTTTATGAATGTACCCTCTTGAACGCACTTTGTGCAACTGAAGTGTCCATTATGTCCTTTTATGCTTAATACAAATAATTTTGCCGACGCGTCACAAAGAATCTTGTTAACTTTTATTTTAACTACTTTGTTCTTGATTTTGAAGCCATTTTCTTGAAGATAAAGGAATTCCTCTATGAACTTCTTTAAAAATTCATCAGCACTAGCTGGTTTCGTATTCCCATGGTAAATGCCTGCCGCAAATGGCTTTCTTGCGTTTGTGTCAAATGTTGCTACATCAATTGCAACTAAAATTGGCCACAGTTGACTCCTTGAGCTGTTGGAAATCGGTATCCCATCTATGTTTATATTGACAGGTAATACTACTTCATTATCACTTTCCAGAAACGTATTTTGCTTTATCTCGTTGATTTTATTTCTCAATCCAGCTTCGATACCGATGTGGTAGTACAAACCTGGAGAAACGCTTATAATGTCATACGGGCAGAAACTAGGAGTCTTTAAGAAAGAACGCGAATTGAGACACAGTTCTGGAAATGTAATTCGTAATATACGCAGCAAATCATTCATAGCACGTTGACTCAATAAGTGTCTATATTTGAAGAACCATTCCTTTAACTCACTGATAGTATCAATCGCACTGTCTGCATTGCACTTGAAGGCATTTTCGAATGTCAAGAAAGCAAAATTGTCCTTCCGGTTTACAAACATCCTGAAGATCATCATCAGTGTCAAGTCCCAGATAACACACAATATTGTATGAATATTCTATGTTGCATCAAATATATTTTGATGAGAATATTCTCGAAAAAATCATTTATATATGTCTGTAGAATATCCTTGTTCATAAAGAATATTCTATAAACCTGCCCAGAATATGTTAAAATCAGCAATAGGAACATATTGTTTACATATTCCATAAATGTTCACTGAATATTCAAATGTGACAACTGAAAATGTACATATAGATGACGTTCAGAATGTATAGCAGAAAATAGATCAACATTCAACTTCTGTCAATTTCATTTCCGTTCCACTTCAGCACGTGCATTAATAGTTACGCAGTTAGTCTTGATTAGTCTGTACAATTCAAGCAGCAATTATAATTAATACAAAGATTCAATTAATCCAAAGATAAGTTTAGATTTTAAGAGTTTTTTTAGTAAAAATGGTTGCTTAAAATAATAGATTCTTTAACCTAATCCTAACATAATCTTAAAAGTACTGTCTTATAACAAATAATTTCTCGTTTTAGAAAGCCGAGCAAGACTTCTGGCTTTTCGAGTTTATCTTCAAAAATTTTTTCGAAAATAATATGAAACGTAGTAAATTTTGTTTAGAATTATATATTTTACTGTAAAAATGTGTGCAATTTTACAGATGTAATTATTTTGTTAAAAATATCAATTTTTATGTTTAAAACATATTATTGAAATAAAAAATTAAAACAATAAAAACTTTTGTTTAACATTTAATATTGATAAAGTTGATTAAACCTTTTTTTTATATCAATGTAATTGCATAAATGTTTAGAATACTAAAAATAATTTAGTAGAATATTCAGTGAATGTTCTTTACATGGTATTAAACATCTTCTCTGAATATTTCTGAAATATAATAAAGAATATTTTTTCAATCTGGAATATTAAAATTGGTCTCATTTGAACGTTCTATAAAGATTTAAAGAACATCTTTTAGTACTTTAAAAGAATATTCTAATATTTTCAACAAATATTTATGGAATGTTTATAGAATGTGTTTGTGTTATTTGAGCCCTGGTGAAAAATATTCTCAGAATTTTTCATAAAAATTTTCAGATTTTTTACAAAAATTTTATAACTTTTTCAGAAAATTTTAAGATTTTTTATATGAATTGGCACACTTTTCAGAAAAGTTCAGAAAAGAAATAAAAATATATGAATAAATTCATTATTTCTCATATTTTCCAGATCTGTATATATTAAAGCCCGTGTCCACGATGCAAGAAATTGGTTCGAGTTCTTGGCCCAAAATGGTTGGATTGCTTCAAGAAATGTGTAACCAATCAACTTGCTGTTTTTCCATAAAAACTTCAATTTAATTGGCTATACATTTCTCGGACCAAGAACTTGGACCAATTTCTTGCATCGTGGACACAGGCCTTTAGAAATATCAAATATTTTTACAAGTTGAAAAATATACGATGTATCAGCTTTTATTTTCTACTTTATCTTTGAATGCATTTCATTTAGCAATGTAAAAACGTGTATATTTATTTTCTAGTAGATATCGAACATAGAATGTCACGTACTTGTTAATACATGTTTTATTCTGTGTTTGACATCCAATGAAAAAGATAGAATAGAAATATATACTTGCGTTAATTTGTACCGTTAAATGAAATGTAGGCAGGGCAAAATATGGAAGCTGATAAATGGAAAATATTCTGAGATTTCTTATTCTGAGATTTCTTATAATTTTCTAAAAAATGTTTTAAAAATATGAATAAACAAGAAATTTTTTCTCAGAATTTTTCATAAAATAAAATTATGAAAAATTCTTAAAATTTTCTAGGAAATTATGAAATGTTTTTTTCACCAGGGAGGTGTTTCAATGTATCGTATAGGTTCCTGATAATCAAAATTGGTTACCGCTTGACTATTATCAGAGGCGGACTGGACAGGAGAGATACTGAGAAATTTCTCGGGGGGCCCCATGTTTTTGGGGGCCCCAGTAGCCCTCAAATCTAAATTTTTTTTCTAAATTTTTTATGCAAGAAATTAATAATCTAAATTCTAAATTATCAGACTGCGACAGTTGAATAACGACGTGTTTTCCTTCTCTAACCAAGATAGCGCTGAGCACGAGTTAGCGTTAGTCAACTATCTGTAGTGCGTCACTGTCCTTCGTGTTCTCCTTTCATTTTTTTATAATTTGTCTTGTAAAGGTTATGGCTAACTGACAATTATAAAGAATATTTACTAAAGACAAAAAATATTATTTATTATTAATAAATACAATGCACTATACTATGGTTATTTATTTTACGTATTGTCCTTATCTTTACTACTAATAACTAAAAAATTACAATAAAAACAACAACAAACAAATTAAAGGACAAAATATCTCCAAATTTCATTAAAACACCTCACCACTTCATTTGACCTTGACTAAAAAAATTTTTTGCCGCGGCGCTTTAGAGTGGGGGCCCTTTTTACAAATTTTCTCGATGGGCTCTGGTGTTCCAGTCCGACCCTGACTATTATCGTCATAAATATTATCATTCTCACTAATTAGCGTATTCGTTTCTAACATTGATGCGTTATTAGTTGACATTTGTTATTAGTGACAATTTGTTCATATTATCGCTTAATGTAACTGTTTTTGATTGTCGATTTAACCCAATTTTCATGAGTTCTTTTTGTATCAACCGACGCATATGCCGCTTGCTTACGAAAAACCTATTTTTGATGAATTTTTTATTACTAGGCATTGTTAATTTATAAGTCAATAAATTTGCGTTTAGGCAATAACAATTTTCACGTGAGAAATATATGAAATTGACGAGAGAATATAGACACGAGATACACACGATAACCATTCATCGAGATCTTTGAGGTTATATTATGTGCGATTTTTCCAATAAAATATATAGATTATATAAATTACATTATTGCATATATGTATATATACTTACTTCACGAACTTCATCTTTCTCAGCAGTCATTGTTCCTCAGCAGTTACAATCTATATTTGCAACAAAGTAAATAACGGATAATAAACTTATTTATTATTTCTGTTCTTCTATGCACAACAAACAATAAAACAATCCAACAACTCACGCCGCTCAAAATCTAACGTTGCTATGTTACAAAATATTATGTTTCATAAAATATATTTTCGTAACATTAAACATGTATTTTTAAAATATCGCATGTATAACATTGCAATCATGTTTTTAGATGTTATTAAAGTAGTCGTTTCAATGCAATGTTTTCTACGCGTTGTGAAACGTTTGTTTTAAAACGTTTCTAGTTAGCATATTAAATGCAAAAATGTTACATTTACGGTATGTTTCGTGAATGTTGCAAATAAGATGTTATTTATAAAATGTTAATGAAACATCCCATTAATATTCATTATAGACGGTTCAAAATTGCAGAATTACTGCAAAAATGTAATGTTCCGTAAATGTTTCATGTTTAGTGGGATATATGTTATTATACAGGGTGTCCCAAAGCACCCTTAACAACTCTCGTGAGGTGATAGAGGAGATCGAGACGAACAAAAAAATCTAATACCATTTTGCGATATTTGCAATAATAATAGAGATATTTAATGTTAAAGTCAGGCGAATAAGAGCGCGCCGCGAGAAGCGCTCGAGCCGCCTGAGCCGTAGGACGACCCAGTGTGTACCATTATAGGCCGTCGGCGCGCGGTAAGGGGAAGGCAGCGCGCCGCTGCCCATGGTTACGTCGTTGTTCCCGCGTCTTACCGCGCCGCGCCAAAAGACTCGATAACCGATAGTACAAAATAATAAATAATGAAAATAATAATAAATAATAACAAATATAAATTAATAATTAAATAATAATATAGTATAAAATGTTTGAGCACGTTTTCCGTAAAATATCGTATAGTATTTCAATACATGAGATAACGATTACAACTTGCATTCTGCTCTGCTTCACATAATTCTAGTATCTACAGAATTGGCAAAACGCTCTACACTGAGAGAATTTTCTCTTAGACTTTATCCTGAAAATCATACACATGTTTGATTAACTTTACTAAACTACATAGTAAAATTAATAAACATATTTTATATTTTATTGTGATAGATATTTTTATTTTTTATTGTGATAAATATTAATCATAAAAATTCTTATAAAATTCTTTCCAAATTGTCCCACGATTATCATGATTTTTAAAGTATAAATTATAAGAGAAAATTCTCCCTGTGTACGAATTAAAAAAAATACTAAGAGTTCCAATAGCACTTTTAATAGTTTTTCGATAAAAATTAAAAGATTCTATGTACATACACATTTCTTATTAAAAGAATTAAAAATTAATTTATTAAAATTAAAATTAAAAAATATCGTTTTAACTTTGTAAATCTAACACGACATTCTCTTCCCTAATTACTAACACGCATTAAATATTATAATTTGTAGCAAGACTTCCTGATAGCTGTTCAACTGCCAAAATGCTTCTTGCAAAAATGATAGTATTTAATGTGTTTTAGTACTTAGAATTAGAGGAGAGAAGTACGACACTTCGCAAATCTAACACGACGTTAAATTTGCGAAGTTAGAATATTTTTCAATTTCGATTAATTTAAAATGAAGAATGCGGAACTTTATAATTTTTATCGAAAATTGTAGAACTATAAAAGTGATATTAGAACTCTTAAATTTTTTTTTAAATTTGTTAAACGTCGTGCCTTCTCTCTCTCTCTCTCT